AAATATAAAAATTGTATCAAATAGCAATTTGCTGAATGCTCAACAAGTAAACAAAAAATTTTCTTTTATAGTTGAATATGATGATTTTCTTTGTACAAATATATACATATATATACGTTTATTCATGCGTGACTCATCGTTTGAGTTTTCTTACTTACCACTTGAAACTTAGCTTCATCGGTTAGACGTGCTTCTTCTGGCCCTGGATTTGCTTGCTGATGTTGTAGCATATGCTCGTAACTGGTTTGTATGATACGCGAAGCAGTCACTTCTTTTTGCAGCACACCAATTTCGTCTTCTTGTTTCTTAATCTGCTGATTTAAGTAGCCGATATAATCAATTGATTTTTGTAATATTATAGCCTTGCTTGGTTTGTAGCCCGAAGCTGAATCATTTTGCTGAATTATAAAACAATTTAAACTAAGTAAACACAATTTTTTATGTTTATTACTTGACACATTGGCACCAATTCTTGCAAACTGTCGTAACCTTTTTTAATAGCATCACGTCGCTTCTGCTCAGCTTGTGTATGTGCTTCTCTACGACGTTCTTTATAATTGGATGAAGTAGTTGTCGCAATTGAATTTACATTACCATTGCCACTGTCATCATCATCTGTGCATTAGACAACAATAAATTCAATATACTTTTAATATTTATTACTTTAAAAATAATTTACCTGAATTGTGTGCGGATGAGTTTGGTGTATGCGTGCTACCAGCACTACTACAACGTGATGAAGTCTTATTACTTTCTTTTGTTTTCACTGTCATATGGTCATAGTCCATAACAAAATCGTCCTGATTACGAAATCCTAAGTAAAATGTATAATATGGCATGTGTATATTAAATTAAAATATTCAATTATTTACCAAATTCACTTTTTATAGTTTGAGACATAGCGTATTAAATTTATACCACGTTTGGTTTTTAATTTTAAATTAAATACAAATTCCTAAAACATTTATATTTTGATAATAGAGATTAATGTCCGTAGTAAATGTAGTAACAGCTGTTTACGAATGTTGTAATGTGTTGAAGTTATGTTGGTGATTCAAAACAGTTCCCCAGAGTTGCATTTTGAATAGATTCCACACGCAATTGCTTGGGAAAAATGTCTGTATGTGATGTGTAAATTCTCTTGTACGGAGTATTTTTTAAGAGATAAAGCATTATAAATTAAAAAATAAAATAAATGAGTCAATAGCTACGTTTCAGCAAACAGTGATCTGCTCAATTTAAGTGCAAAACAATAATAATCGGGTGTACCAGCAATTGAACTGATTCAGATTCTGGTTCAATGTGGAATGTATGTACAAAATAAAAGTGGAACGTAAAATGTCATAGGCAATTCGATTTTAATATGTGATACGGTGCAGTAAAAAATATAAATAAAATAAATGAATACATGGAGTTTGGCTAAAAAAGTAGCGCTTTATTTTTATTTTTAAAATCAATAATTATTATACAAATTTGAATTATAAAATTCCCAATATTTCTATGTTGATGCATCACATCCCCAGAGCTTAATACACTTGAACTTGTGTTTAAAGAGCGAGTGGAGGAGTTAGTTTCACTATCGTTCAATGAAAGACCCTTGGAAAAACGTGTCCTATTAAATTATTTATTATATATTAAATTAAATTATGAATGTAATTTATATTATAATATATTTTATAATGTATTTAAATACTGTTCTTAAAAAATATTTTTAAATTATCTAAAACATTTTATTGAACATAATTATTAACAAGGACTAAATGTTGAGATATAATTAAATGTATAATTTCTATATATATGTATCCAATTTATCAATATTAAAATGATGACATTTTTAAAGATTTATGAATTTTATTTAACCTTCAAAAAAACCCGTGTTACATAACGATTAACTGGCGAACCGAGTAAAAGCTCCTTTCCACTCTCATAAACATGTGAAACCATACTGGCAGAACCATCAAATCCATGCATAGCACCGACAATATTTCCATTCCAATCCAATCGAATGATTGTAGTACGTTTTGGTAACAGAGCAGAAAACATCTTGCTGTGACCGATGAAATGAATGAAATATTTAGAAAAAGGATTCGGTATTATATGTTCCACGAATTTAAATGGCATTTCAAAGATTGTCAATAGTCTTATTATAAATTCGCGTTTTTGTGGAGACTGTGAAAGTGCAGCAAATCCTGATGGATTATTTTTATCCGCTGAACTTACTAATGGCACCCATATACCATTTTCATCAGGAGTCAAATTATCGGGATGACCAGGAAGACCATCAATAAATATTTCACTTTCACCAGTACGAATACCATCTACATAATATTTCATTAAACGCATACCACCAGTTTCAGCAACAACGACGAAATCTTCTTGAGGACTTATAGCAACACCATTTGCAAAGAAAAGTTCATCGAGCAAAACGGTGCTGATATTTTTTGAACGATCATATTTAAAAAGTCTATGAAAGAATATTGGATATATTGATATGTAAAAATAGCACAGGTAATAGATAAAACTCACCGTCCTGATGGATTTGTTAAGCCTGCAAGTACTGAATCTTCGAATGTAAAATCTGATGAAGAGTCAGTCCAATAGATATCGCCTTTCGAGTCAACTGCTACACCGTTGAATATTTTTGCTTTGCGGTTAATAAACTTTCCTGGCAAAATTTGCTTTGGCGATACTAACAACGTTTTTCTATACTTTTTAAGATCTACTCTCCAAATTCCATAGTATGCATCAGCCACAATTATATTATTACCCTTCGTATCAAATGCCAACCCAAGCGGACGACCGCACACGGCCTCGTCAAAACTGCGTCTTTCTAAAAATCGATTAATAATTTTATATTAAATCAAAACTTGCGCATAAAGATGTACATATATAGGCAGGAAGCATAGAGAATTTTAATTCTTAGTATCTTTAATTGTAATATGGTAGGTCATTTTTTTATATAATTGCATATAATAAAATAATTAACTCACTGCATGGCTTTCCAATCTGAAAAATGGGCATCACTAATCCTTTCTTAAATATTGCTACATTGCCACCATTAAGACCCATATACACTGTATCACCGCGACCGATTATAGTTTCGGGACCATTAATTTCATTTTTTAGTATGTGGTCTGCATAATCGAGCAGTTTATTTATAGCTAAAGGACCCTCAAGTTCACGTGGAAGAGTTACACTAATAAAATTGAATTATTGTTAAAAACAATTTTAAGAATACTTGATACTTACTTAAACTCTGCGGTTGGAAATGTTGTATGTGGTGGAAGACCTGGTACAGCTGCAAGAAAGATTATGCTAGCCACAAAACAGGAGGCCTTTAGAAAATACTTCACCATCTGATGTATAGCCATTTTTTCGTTATAAAAATATATATCACTATTAATTTAATTGATCAAATTAGTAGTGCTCTCTAAGGCCTGTCCGATTTCTGTAACATTATGAAGAATGTGTGAATTTTTATGGAAATTTATTCATTATAAACTATGTCAAAATGATAAAATTTTCAGTAATTGCTACGATTTTTAATCCCAATGATGACGTAGCTAATTTTTTTTTCAAGTTAAATTACTACTGTTGTTTATTTAATAAATTAAAGTGATATCATACCAATGGGGATTGATTATTGTTATTGTTTTAACTATACTTCTGATAACAATAGTATTGAGCGATTCATCCATCAAGCCATGACAACATTTTTTTAAAAGAATTTTAACTGTTAAACCAATTTTGGAAAAAAGTATTTGAATAATAGAGCAAAGAAAATGCATTTTTTTTCAATAAGAAGGGCGAAGAGATTGCGCTACGATCTATCAGACGTAAATTCAAAATACTATGCGGAACTACCGTAGGGTATTTTTAATCAGAAGAATACATATATTGCTGTGAGGGCGAAGAGACCTAACCTATTTCCATATTATATATCAACGAAATGAATAGTTATAGACTTGACATATATGAAGTTTTAGCAGAATTGCTTATCGTGAGAGTTTCCTTTTGAGTAAAATTGTCTAGGGCCTGACTGTCAAGTAGAATACGTAAAATAGATTTGACTTAGGTATTTATAGTCAAGAAGCTTAACAATGTAATTAAATTAGTTTACTTTTTGTCAACTTTGCCAGTACCTGTATTAATGTAATAAAATTTAAGGGATAAATATAATAATTCATGTATTTATTAATATGTGACCGAATCCACCATTACACTCTAAAATTTAATAAAAAGAATATAAGGTATTAAAAATATAAACCTTCTAACTTGTTATTTAGTTTAGCACTATCAACCCGAGTGATAGTGTTGATACAACTAATCAACACTTGAACTTGCAGACATCTATTTCTTAATGTGATTCCCTCGGAAAAAACTTATTATTTGCAGTGACAAAATTTTCTCTACACATGCAGAAGAATAAAACTCCTAGTCACTTACTGTCTGATTATTCGTCTTTAATCTTAGGCAAAAGAAGGACGCTTTCTAGCCATATAATATTAGCAACACCTAAAAGACGGATATTCTGGAAATCATTATGAAAACTATATGTGTTTTCTTCGTTTAGAGTGAATTGCATTTAGAGGGGAATACGTGTGATAGAAGCAGTATTTCATAATGTACACAGGATTCAGGAGATCAGGATTTCTATGCTAGGGAACTGTCCCACTTTCTGGTTTCAGTCATGATAACATGTAGCATAAAGAATCTACTATGGTTGCGGCGTTACTCTTCACTGGAGACTTAGATCACTATTATACCTTATTTTTAAAATTAAATGTGAGATGCATTACTATATCATTACTATATCTTACTTCAAAAATAAATACTCCTATCACACAAAATCGACATATTTTTTATTTCGGAAGCGAAATAACATTCTAGATAATTCTAATAAAAAAAATACATGTGTATTCAACATAAAACGGAAGAATTTATTTATTGCTACATCATAACGAATAGTAAAATATCAGGTTTTTATCAGAAGCTATTTATAAAAGCATTAATATATAATAATAATCAATCCATTATCAGCAGACAAGCGTTATCAGTGCATTTAATAGGAACATTCCTCGTTGCCTATTTAAATTTTTATTTATCTAAACAAATCCACGTGAATCAACAACCTGAAAACCGAATTCTCATGCGGTATGTTTAATCAGCGAACCGATCAATTTTGCCGGCTTTGCTTTCCTCCCTTCATTGCTTAAAACAGCTGTGCTGGAAGATAATTCGGTTATAGCGTAAACAAACGTTGTGCGTTGAGGTTGTTGCGTTGAGTTGTTCACGGAGCAAGAAAGAAATAAATAAAATAAATTATATTACTAAAACGATAAAATGGCTCAATCAAGATTTTCAATATATGCCTTGGCATTATTTGTTGCTTTTTTCACGATACCTTCACCGACCACGTTTCCCTTTAAAGAATTTGAGTTAGTTCACAGTTATGAAAATATATAAAACTTTATAATTATCCATCAATATTTTATGTAGTGTGCCGCCCACGCGTGAACTGATTGGAGGACTTAAGCCCAATAATTACCTTGATGGTACGCAGCATTTACTGGAAGGACGAATATATGGACCAGAGTGTTTAATTGCACGCAATGATGTTATCTACGCCGGTGTGAATGGTGGCGAAGTGGTTAAAATTGTTGGTGACAAAGTAACGCCTATTTTCAAAATCGGTGCACCATGTGGTAAGTTTAGTATTGTTATACATATTGTATTTTATTATATAAGCAGTGTTAATAAAAACTATTCAATATAGTACATACCTATGATGAACCTATATGCGGACGTCCGCTAGGCTTGGCATTCGATACACAAGGCAATAATATAATTGTCGCAGATGCATACTATGGCTTGTGGTCAGTTGATTTGGATACGTATAAGAAAACATTGCTTGTCTCAGCTAAACAACCTTTACCAGGCAAAACTATAATACGCAAAGCTAGAGTATTCAATGGCGTAGCTGTGGATAAGAAGGGAGTCATTTATTGGACTGATTCTTCATCTGATTATGGTTTTCAAGATTTAGTATTTGCATCAGTGGTTAATCCATCAGGACGGTAAATAGATTTTATTTAAAAAAATTTTTTGATATAATAACAATTTGTTTTTATTTTTGTAGTTTGTTCAAGTACGAACGCGCCACTAATGAGAGTAAAATATTACTTGATGAAATATTTTTCGCTAATGGTGTTGTTCTAAGTCCTAATGAAGACTTCTTGGTAGTTGTCGAAACTGGTGCGATGCGTTTAATAAAATATCATTTGAAGGGTACTAAAGCCGGACAAAGTGAAGTTTTCGTTGAAGGTTTACCTGGTCATCCAGATAATACAACACCCGATGAAACTGGCATTTGGGTGCCTTTGGTAATGGCTGTTGATAAAGAGCATCCTTCTGGTTTTGCGCTATTTTCAAATTATCCTAAAGTACGCATGTTGCTGATACGCTTACTGAGCTTTTTGGAGGTGCCATTCCGTTTCATTAACAGCTTTTTGCCAAATAGTATATCCAAGAAAGCGATACATTTTATTGGGAATGGTGAGAGTATTCTGATGTTGGCACCAAAACGTACGACTGTTGTGCGTGTTGATTGGGAGGGAAACATCGTCGACGCTTTGCATGGCTTTGATCAGTCGATTGGTGCCATTTCACATGTATTGCATCACAAGAACTATTATATATTTGGTTCACCTTATAATCGCTACATTGGCCGTGTAAAAGCGAAAAACTCTATTATTGAATTAAATCAATAATAATAATAATAATTGTAATAATTTAAAATAACAACCTTAAACGTTTTTAAGTTTAAGTAGTGTAATTATACTAAGGTCAGCTATATTCTTTATATTATGACATATGGATCCAATTAGCTGTGTTCCTTTTTTTAATATTTTTATATGATTTGTTTATTACACTTTATACATTAAAAAAATTTGAATGTAAATATTAATTGTATATAAATATAAAGATTTATGTGGTACCTTTACATATGTTTAATATATTATTTTTTATTTGTGCTGATGACATAAAATATATATTTTTAATTTTATGTAATAATTTTATAACATAAAAATGTATTTATAATTAGAACCTAAAGGTGTTCACTAGAGGAATACTTCGAACCATCTAGTGTAAATAGTATTCCATATTAAGACAAAATAAATTATATATCTGTAGTCGTATAATAGTTACAGTGGTGCTATGCTTTATTAAGTTCGACATATTTAAATTAAGTATTTTTTTATACTAGAAAGATTTCTAGTAGAGGCTTTGGTAAATAGACTTGAATACTTGCAAGTTTCAAAAATAATAGGCGCAGCATTTGTAAAGGTTCTAAAGCTATGAAAAAATTTTTTTGAAAGTCATACTTATTTGATGAATGTATTTAAAATGCTTAAGTAAATATTTATAAATTTTACATATTCATAAGAATCGGTATTTATTTATCAGAAGCACACAAAATTTAAGTAACTCGTTCATGCCCGTTTTCCTGAGCGTACGAAGGAAGTGTTCTAAGTTTTCATTAGCAAAAATACCTAATCGTAGTATTAGCTGGAATTATTTCCTATTTCTACTAGGCAAAGGAACTACCAGTGTCTTATTCTTAGTTAACTTTAAAATTAATATAATTGTTAACTCACAAATAAAATGAAATCAAAAATATTTTCTATTTCATTAAAATTATTTTAATATGATTTGTTGTAATGATAATGGTAGGAACATAGAAAATCGTGCAAACATTCAATACTTTTTTAAAAAGTTTTAGCATTTTAAGCATTCTTTCAATTTCCGAAAATAAAATTATCTCTCAATTTCGACAACTGTTTTTATTTCCTAAAGTACAAACTTTCTATTTACTTTATATTTGAAAAATCATTTAAAGGTTATTCAACTCTACACAGCTTAATACACAGCTATGAGAATTGCAGTAGTATTAGAAATTTGAATAAATTATGAATATTGTTGAGTGAAAGGCGCTGTAGCGAAACTCAAATAATTAATTCGTGTGTAATTGATTTTCATATAATATAAGAATTATAAAAAGTGTGGCGATTGCATTAGATACATATTTTATAAGCTTACACTGAAATTTTATAAGCCCTAATAGTCTTTATTTTATAACGATATTTATAGTAGCACAATATTTACAGTATGACACTGAACGTACCAACGAAATTATATCTGGAAACACTTTAGGTATATAGCACCCAACAGCATGGGATTCCAAAGAGCGTTGCAGACTCTATGCACAATTTGGAGTGAATGATGCAAAAAGGAACAATATTTTCAGAAGCGAAAAAAATTAAAAATTTATAGTAATTTGCAACAACATTCTTAACTGTTATTTTCGAAATCTTTATTGGTAGATAAAGTTGATATAATTATATTTTTCTGTATATGATAGCTTGATTTCATAAGTATATCTCAACCAACATAGATAGAATTTATTCATATGAGTCCTTTTTATACTTTTTCAAAGTATTTTGTGATATTCAGATAATTTTAGAGGCAATTCCTTTTGTATCTACTAAATAAATAATTGCATATAAATTATTACATTTATGTTTTTGTTCATTGAGAAGATATTTCAATACATTTTATATTTTTATACATTTGTATTGCCTAAAACGGATATCCGAATAGTTCGGATATGCCGTAGCTACTAGCGAACAGCGTTATTATGAAATTAAAAATAATATTAATATAATTTGTTGTAAAAATTTGAAAGTCGAAGAAACAATATTTAATTATTATTAGTTAATTGATATAGGTCAAAAATTATAATTGAAAAAACAATTATCATATAGTTATATCAAAAATAATAAAAGTCTGAAATGTTATATTTATGGTTTATTTGACGAATTGTCGAAACATTTAAATATATATTTTTATTTAAAGTCTATTTTAAATACTTAAAATATAATAAATCTCTGAAATTATACTGCGGACTACATAATTCATGAGCACTTTTATTAAACATACCCCACGTGTGCGGCTTCCACATATGTGGAATCTATCATAATCATTTGTAGTAATTACCTATTTATTTATATTTCGGGTCAAAATACTACCGAGTAAGATTAACACATATTTTCTTTTGTACTTTGATTTCGGCTGATGAAGGCAATAATAAGATAAAGAATACCGGTTCAAAGTGAAATACAATAGAAAGAGAAGAGGAGAAGAGAAGAAAAGACAATTGGGTTTTGTAGTCGTGTCTGGTTGTGCTGCGAATAGAAATTTCTTTTCAAATAAATTTTGTTTTCTTGATTTTTAATAAATATAACATTTAAAAAATGGGTCTAATCTACAACATAGGCGTGAGGCTTATGAATTTTATGGTATTTTTCCTGCTTATCGTACTTCTGCCCGGTCTTCCACCTCGTACCACTTTTCCATTTAAAGAATTTACGTAAGTTCTTTTTAAATATTTGACTTTAATATTAATAGAAAAGAAAATTTATATATAGTGTTGCACCTACAAAAGAACTAAAAGGTGCACTTGAGCCCAATCAACATTTGGACGGTGCACAACGTTTATTGGATGGGCGTGTCTATGGTCCTGAATGTTTAATTGCACGTAACAATGAGATTTACACTGGTATACATGGTGGCGAAGTTATTAAACTAACTAATGAGCATGTTACACATGTTGTCAAGCTTGGACAACCTTGCGGTACGTGTCCCAAAATTATTTGCATATATCTTTTAGGCTATAACGTCATCATATTTTACAGAAGAAATTTTTGAAGAATCACGTTGTGGTCGGCCTTTGGGTTTGGCATTTGACACACAAGGCAATAATTTGATTATTTCGGATGCATATTATGGCATTTGGTCAGTGGATCTTAATACAAATAAGAGAAAACTTTTAGTTTCACCACAACAAGAACTGCCCGGTAAAGACATCAATCGCAAGGCAAAGACGTTTAATAGCGTAGCTGTTGCTAAAAATGGTGATATTTATTGGACCGATTCCTCATCAGATTTTAAATTAGAGGATTTGGTATTTACTTCCTTTGCAAATCCGTCTGGACGGTAAGTTTTTCTGTATTTACCAAACACTTTTATCAGCAAATGAAGATATTTTAGAAGAGATAAGATAAATTATTTTTACAAATTATTTGCATAAACTTACAAAAGATGTTAAATTAATTGATTCGTAAATAATGAGTCATGTATAGCGTTTGTTGCCCATAAACGGAATGTTGTTTTTTAAATTCAATGGGATCATATATCGAGTAATAACGCTATTTAAACGCTTCAAAATTGTGTGGTGTGAATTTAAAAGACTTTATAAACAGATGAAAGCAAGGAGAATTTAACCCTTGTATGACAAGTACATCTAATATCTGTTTAACAATATTAACCATATTGATTCTACATCCAACGTTTGTTATGTTACCGTTTATAACTGAATTGTCTCATTTGCAATATCGTTTAAATCAGATCCATTTGTTGTTCCAAGCCTAAACAATTTCTTAAGTACATGCGCACACGGGACTGTTATAATATATTAATGTAATTAGCATGTAATTTGTTTAAACTTTCCTGTTACAATATGCTTTAACTAATGTAACCATCTTAGCACTATTTATCCATATAGATATATGCTTACTTGGTTTCCGAAGAATCTATTTACGAAGTATTAGTGATATTAGTGCCACTCGACCCAACTAAATTTAATATATGCTACCGGTATAATTATTGTATAGCTTTGGCTATTCTGCAGATGAGCTGCATCCTGCTCACATTATCATTGGTGGGACTTGTGTCGTCATGTCAAAAAGTGCTCTGTCGACACTTAGTCTGCTGTCTATATTGGCGATGATTGTCTATTGGATGTAGACCCGGCCTATTTTGAAACTTCAAATGGTCTCTTAACAGATGAAAAACGTCTTCCTTGTATAGCCAGAACTGTTCTAGCTTGATTGAGATCAGAATATAGCCACGTGGTAACTAGGTCTATATGGTAATAGGTGTTTCGATTTCAGTTCTACTCGTAATGGCATAGCTCATGCAGTTGTTCATTTGTCTAAATGCACACATTTCTTTTCACCTTATTGGTGAATGTTCTCGTCATATAGAAGTACCTACGTTCCCTACCTCGATCTAGGCTACTTTTAATTAGCATCTGTCCACAACTTCATCTCTCGTCTATTACACAAAATTTACACTCCTACCTTTCCAAAATCAAGTTCTCATGAGTTTAAACAACAAGAATAGAATGGATTGTGAAACCATGGATTCTTTTCAAACAATCTCTTCATTGTGACGATTTACATTTGAAGTCCTAAATACATAAGCGTTCTTCCATTACGCGAGATTTTGTGTATCGATTAGACAAATCTAATACACTCCTTTCATCTACTTAAAAATGTGATACTGATTGTATTATTAATTAATATATTATATACTTTTTGTATCTTTCAGTCTATTCAAATATAATCGTGGTACAAATGAAAGCGAAGTTTTGCTTGATGAACTTTTCTTTGCCAATGGCATTGCATTAAGTCCAGAGGAAGATTTTATAGTTGTTGTCGAAACAGGAGGATTGCGTTTGACAAAATACCATTTAAAGGGTGCTAAAAAAGGTCAACATGAAGTGTTCGTTGAAGGCTTACCCGGCCATCCAGATAATATAACACCTGATGCTGAAGGCTTGTGGGTGCCATTAGTAGTTGCAGCTGATAGTGAACATCCCTCGGGATATGTTCTATTTTCTCAATTCCCAACCATACGTCTCTTCCTAGCACGCATGCTACAACTTTTCGAATTACCTTTCCGTACATTGAACGAATATTTTCCAAATAAATTGCTACAACGTTTTGTACATTTCATTGGTCATGGAGAAAGCGTTCAATTATTGTCACCGAAACGTTCAACAATTTTGCGTGTCGATTGGAATGGTAACATTATAGGCTCTTTACATGGTAATGATGGATCTGTTGGCGCTGTTTCACATGTATTAGAATTTAATAATCAATTATATTTGGGTTCACCTTTTAATCGTTATTTGGCTCGTGTTAAGTCACCAAAACCAGCTAAACAACCTACTGTAAAAGTCAAAAATGTGAGATACGAAGGTGCGACACTTGAAGCATCTGTAAAACCACCAAGCACTGCTTCTACAACAACCACAACAACAACGACCCCTAAACCTTCGACTACAACAACAACTACAACTACGACAACAACACCAAAACCAACCACCACCACCACAACAACAACACCAAAACCAACTACCACCACAACAACAACTGCTAGGCCAACAACTACTACCACTACAACAACGACTACACCAAAACCTTCAACGACTACAACTACAACAACAACACCAAAACCAACAACTACAACTACTACTACAACAACAACACCAAAGCCTACAACGACCACACCAAAGCCTGCTACACCCAAACCAACCACAGCAGCTCCGCCCAAAGTGCAACCAACAACAACAACGACACCTAAACCCGAAACAACAACGGAACGAGTTCCTCCTAAGGAACCAGCGCCTGTTAAGGAAGATATAACTTCCGACACCAAACCG